AATCTGCAAGGCTCGGGCCGCGTTTGCTAACTTGAGACACCTATGGCGTCAGAATGGTTTATCCTTGAATCTGAAGGGACGTGTGTATCAAGCTACAGTACGGGCTGTTTTGTTGTATGGCTGTGAGACTTGGCCTATTCGAGCAGCGGACCTGAGACGTCTTCAGGTGTTCGACAATAGTTGTTTCAGAACCATAGCTCGTGTGGGTTGGTGTCGGCGAATCCGTAACGAGGCAGAAGGCGTGTTTTCGGTTGTGTAACGGGTACTTCCATTGAAGAATGTGTCCGCACCAGAAGATGATGATGATGATGATGATGGGGCTTAGTGGATCTATTGCATTCTGTACGTCAGCAGAGCCTCTGAGGCCGCCATAGAGCTCACAGTCGAGTCACTGTGAACTCGAAATGTATCAGTGGTTAGAGCGCGAATTTACCGACCGGGAAGTTCCAAACGCAGCCTCTGCTTCTTAGCTGCGCCTCTCTAGTCCTAAGCAACTTGGCAATATCTCAGCCCTTGTGTTTCCTTCAGGCGGCATGGCATCTAGGCCCCGAAAAGGTGTTAGATGAATAATGATAGGACTACACTTTTCTCGTTGGTGTCGTAGTTGTCAGGAGAGCCTGAGATCCACTTAGGCCCAGGCGAAAACAGTGAAGGCCGATTTGGTGTAATTCGTGGAGCCCGTCCACACCGTGCCTCTTGAAAACAGGTCCTTGCGCAGGATATTTAACTTTTTGGTCAATGCATAGCTTGATTGATCGTCAGGGGGGAGCTTTCATGAGCCAACTTACCTGGAATAAAATTTCGGAATTTTTATTTACTTGACTTTCCGGGACACCATTGTTTTCGTTTAGAACAGTCCAAACATGGACGCTGAAATCACACCACTCTTGGTGTTCCCGTGACCCCACCTGTGGTTGGCTGGAAACATTGCAAGAAATGGCAGCTAATCGATGTCAGTGGCGTTCGTTCCGTCAGTTTCTTTCCCAACTTGTCTGATTGGGCGTTTGGGGGTGTAGGCACCTCAGAATGCTCGACATAGACCAGCACTAGGTCCCCTCCCTCACCCACTCTTTTTATCTTCTTTTCACTCTAGGGCTTTGAATATAATTAGACGAACCTCATGGTTGTACGGCAGTGGAGCATCAGTATCAACACTGGCGTTGTTGTCTTTGATGATGATGATATTTGGTTACAAACATTCTGTAAAAGACGAACAAAATATACCGAAAGACTCATAAATCAATCTTGCCGAAGGTCTCCTCATGTTCTACGGACAGTGTGACAGACATAGTAATCGTAAAAGTTATGGACATTTCAGGCCGGAATGATGGCGGGTTAGGACTGAATGCTTCCATGCAAGACAGCAAAGTTGAGTAGTGATCGGTAAACAGAGTGGATAGTCCGAACAAACTGTTTGTATAGATTGCTTGAAAAACACTTGTCCCAGTAACTGGAGAAAGTCTCATGACAGTTCGTGCTATTGCAAGCTCACTATGACACATTGCTTAGTTAGCCAGTTTAGGTTTTTTATCATAAGAAGGGCACATTTGCCCATCCGATCTCAAATGACCCCCTTCCTAATACGACCGCCTGATACCGATTTTTATTCCCTATGCAATACAACCATTTCCACCGCGACATGGCTATATTGTCCCTTTGTGATACCGGATGTCGTGCCTTCATCGTTGATGAAGGAGAATATAACGCCAGCCGTTTCAATCGAAAATCCGGACACACTGCAGGACTGAAGACTGTTCACCACCCTGAAGAGGCGAGAACTGTCGTCCATCGCAACTCGAACAGCGTCTAAAATAGTACCTATCCACGATGTAACTGGTCTGCCATGTATTTGATGAACAACGAGGTTGTAAAAAAAATTGGATTCGATTTCATGTTGCCTCTCTGCCCTCAATTTCCACAGCTTTGAAAACCTACGCTACAGTGTTCCACCTTTCTACACATTGCCACAGTGAACTTCGTCGATCCAACTTCTTAGAAGGTCCAATACAGCGTTAGTTAGCTTTAATTGATAGTGGGACTGGTTGCTTAATTTTTACATTACGAGGTATCAACCCTAAAGCCTTGGGAGCGAGATGGCCCAGTTGGTTAGAGCGCGAATTTACTGACCGGAAGGTCCGTGGTTCGAACCCGACCTCCTCTGCCTCTCGACTTCCCCTGTCTAGGCTTGGGCAACCTGGCAGTATCCCAGCCCTCGTGCAGCCTTTGGGTGGCGTGGCAGCTTGGCACCGAAAGGGTGCTACAGCTGCCACGAGTACTCCCTAAACTAAAACTGTCAAAGTATCATAACACATTGGGAATGACAGTCATATTCCCGCCCATCCCCAGAACGACGTTATCTTTGTCACCCAACATCATACACTGGTTGATTACTAAGAGGGACGAGACCGAATTTGGGTTTCGCGCTGGCGGGTGATTCACGCACTATATGTTCACCTTAAAACAAGTGTTTGAACATCACCATTCTCTCAAACAACCAACATTCGTCGTTTTCCTTGACCTGAAAACTGTTCTTGACTGTATTGGTCCCCGGAAATCCTTGGCTACGTCTGTTCAAGGTATTTTTGAAGTTCTTCCGTACGCTAACTTCTCCGGGTGCGTACGAGTCCTGCAGAAACACCCCCTCCCCTGTGGGTTCACCCATTCGATTGGTGTATAACAAGGTTGCTATCTCTCCGCTTCTTTGATTCTTTCATTTTTATACTGCTTGAAACAACTCTCTACCACGGTCTCCTCGGGTGGATGGGGGGTTGTCGAAATACCTCCAGGGTGTTTACTCGCAAGCATTGAGTATGTTAACTAAATTTTTGAGACCCTACTCTAAATAACAGATAATTCTACCACACATTTTCGCATTCGATCCACATCTGCAAAGTATAAAGTGCTTCTAAAAGACGGGAACCTAAACCTCATGCTTACAGATCATCCAGTCATCTACCTAAAAAGTTGCATAAGTTCCGGTTGACTGGATGGAGGCTGAATCTCCTGTGGGATCGGGAAGCACGGGATACCTCTCATCTACTTTTGACGTCACCGGTCCTGGTGTGACGTCAGCTTGTCTGTCAGTAACTGCATAGGCATAGCGACAGTGCTGCCCACACCGGTTTTTCGATCACAGACGTGGTCTCTACGCACAGAAGATATGTGATATCTGCCCGGGTAGTCCGAATCCTTGTTTGACCCGGGCGGAGGTATTGGATTAGCAACTCTGAGGCATGTTAGATGATTTTGAGAAGGATATCTCCTACAGTGAATGAAGAGATCCTTCTCAAGATGAACCAAGTGGTTAGAGCGCGAATTTACTGACGGGAAGGTCCGTGGTTCGAACCCGACCTCTGCCTCTCGACTTCCCCTGTCTAGGCTCGGGCGACCTGGCCTCGTACCTCCTTCGTGTGGCATGGCAGCTAGGCACCAAAAGGGTGCTACAGCTGAACGACAGTGAATGAAACTGACACAGATTAGGACACATAATTCGCATGACTTCCTCCTGCCCATCCTTCTGCGAAGTGGAGACGACCGAGAGGTGGTCATCCTATGACCAGACAATGGAGGATGAACCCCCCAGTCAGTAAACTCATTCGGGTTGTCAATCTCCGCTTTCCTGAATGAAGACCCCGACAATCAACTCGTCAGTGACACTGACGAACACAGCTCATTCACAGTCAGTAGTCCTCACGTCACTGACTAGCTGCTATTTCTTCAGGCGTCTATAACAACTCAACATCAATTAGCCTGTGAGGCTTTTCATTTCCTCTGCTTCCATTTTTCGATGAACGAAATCAACAGCTGGAACCACTTGCCTTTGCTTCATGATTTACGGCGCATTAGCGGCGCTGTTTGAGCCCTTTACGTCCAAGAAGCGGAAATCGTACCCCGCCTTGCATTTCTACCTGTTTCAAGGACATTCGGTGCGATTGTCCACCATTGTTTTCATTGTCCCCGGAATCAAAGGCTCTAATGGGCACTTGTCCCGGGACTTGTATCCGGTCTGAATCAAGGGCGAAGAAAATATGACATCTGAATTACTTCTTGGGTTCATAATGCTTTCACTCAGGCGTCGAGGCTTTTTTCCGACGTACGCTATGCAGAGGTCAACAGAACGGCCGTGCTGTGTGAACCGATGATAATGAGATTGGGTGGGTTGATAATGGTCTATCTCTTCCTGAGCTGTATTACCAAGATCTAGAATCTATCGACTCATCCAATCAAAGACAGTGTGGATAAGTTGGACTTCCATCACTTTTACTGCCCGCGTCAATGAAATGAAGATTGCCTTGCTCGGGCTGCTGTTATGCCACACATCAATCTAGCCGGCTCACCAACAAGCCGCTGCAAAGTTGAGCCAATTAGCGTGATAGCATCATGGCAATTCGTACCGCGAAATGATACAATCTCGTTCAGCCGTAGTGCGTCATCGGTTGGATCAAGGTAGACTGTAGGTTACCCACGGCTTTATTGACAAATTTAACGATTGTCGAATTTGTTCTTCGGATCCGTCAATCACTTGACCACATGTGAAACCCTTTTTATCATATTCAATTGGTAGTCAGATGATGAGTTTGTAGTGAAGCATCCGCGTATGCGAATGCACGAAGGCGTAACACAGAGTCGGACGAGCCAAACTTTACCCGTCGGTTAGTGAGAAGGTACTTTCTCTTTTTTGGCCTAGTCGACTTGATATGGAGGTCTCTTGCATCCCCAGCTATGTTTTGAACGCTATTATAAACCAGTTTGCAAGGATACTACCTGGGTGTGTCAAGTCGAACTCCAGGTCTTCGCTCTGGAAATTGATAAGCAGTGTTGGTTCGATTAAAGTTGGATCAGGGTAGTAAGCTAGTAGTGCAAAAGCCCTTTCGAGTAGGGGTATCCTACTTGCGTTCAAACTTCTTTCAGTTTTTTACAGTAAGACTCTTTTTGATTGATGGCAACACAGTGACGCAGTTTTATCGATTATGTCAATTTTCGATTGTGATTCGAATACAATCTCCTGTTCTACTGATACATACTACAGTACATGGTTCAGATAGTGTCACCGTGCGATCGGTCATGGAGTCAGTATCATTAGATTTAACGGACAGATTTATTTATCTGGGCAGTTGCATCGTGCCAGATGATAGTTTCCTTAGATAAGTAAATACTAGAATAACTGAACGCAACTTCACTCTCCTTCAACTTGGGTATCCCTGGGGTTGATATAACAGTGGCCTGTCCGTGAAGGTAGGCAGTGCTCCCACTGTTTACTTGACTGACCACTTTGTCAGAGACAAAACACTCCTTTGAAGAACATTGGATTAGCAGTCGAAATCGTTCACCCTTTCGGTGCCTAACCGCCATGCCACCTGAAGGTTGCACGAGGGCTGGGATACTGCCAGGTTGCCCTAGCCTAGACAGGGGAAGTCGAGGTGCAGGGGTCGAGTTCGAACCACGGACCTTCCGGTCAGTAAATTCGCGCTGTAACCACTTGAGCCATCTCGCCCCAGCATTGGATTAGCAGTGCTGGAATGTGGCGACTAGTTATGGCAACGAATTGACGGAGCTTCCTCAGCTACGCTCGCTCGTCATGTCTTTCTATACCTGGTGATCGACTGCCTTATTCATGGTTATGTGCGGGCTGGGATATTACCAGGTCGCCCAGACAGGAAGATGATTAAGGTCCTTGACCAAAGACTTTGGCTCAAACACCTTACCACAAGGCAGCATTGTTTGGCTGGAAATTGAGGTCCATTACCGTTTGATAGAACAGGTTGCCACACGTGTTCCAACCCATAAACTGGATGGTCAAGGGGTTGTGTTGGTCAGACCTCCAATAATTGACCAACCTGATGTGAGATACTCCTCGAGTGTTGCACGGGCACAGTCTAGTATAGTTCAATGGGTCGCGAAGGCACACAAACGACAAGGTTTAGTCTCTTCCAACCACAAAGTGATCCACTTTCTTCATTACTGTTTAGTTGCGCGGTCGGTGGACTAATTAGACGAATACTGGGAGGTCTTCAAAACGCTGGTATTCAGACGAAAACCTTAGTCTGAATAAAGGGGGTCTGGGAAGGGACCTAGTGCTAGTCAAATACACTCATTCCGAGGTACCTACAATCTCCAGACATTCATTCAAACACTCTGGCTAAAAACTGACAACAGAAACTCCATTGACATTGATTAGCGGTTATATCTCCCAGCGTCTGCAGCTGGTCGAACGCGCACCCCATCCTTGGAGGTGAGTCGCATCGTGTCCACTTTTGCGCCAGGTTGGGGGCATTGCTAGAAATAATGGTTGGTTGATACCACTGTCGTTCGTTCTGTCCATTTCTTTCAAGACCGTCTGGTTGATCGCTTGGAGGTGTAAGCATCTCAGAATAGTTGCGATAGGCCAGCTCCACGCCCCCTTCCTCACCCACTCTTTTCTCTCCTTCTCAACATAATTAGATAAATCGTGTGTGGCAATGAGGCATCATTGTCAACACTGACGTTGATACCCCTGATGATGACAATGACCCAGGCTCCTCTTATCACCGGAACAGCTGGCGAATCAATAAGTAAAGTGATTGGCATACAACCGACACTGGCTTGCTGAAGTTAAATTGGCTCCCGTATTCTTATTTTGCTCTCACGGTGTGGACAGCTTAAGCGAGAGTGTGTTTGATTTCTTGCCCATAGTCAACACTCGCAACAGCCGTATCACCTGTCTCAATAGTGTAGGATCTGAGATAGGATGTCAACTTGTCGAAACCTCGTACACCTCCACAAGTAATGTTAGGCTTTTAGCTTGAGCTGATTGGTTTCCTGAGTCCGCCGCGCTGTGATCGAAACAGCTTCTCAGATGTGTCAAGAATTCTTTGCTCAAGCGAAACGTGCGACACCTCAATTTGCAATGACGTTAATGTGCAGTACCGGTCGGTATTCTTCATACATGGAGAGAAATGCCGTCCTTTGCGCCGAGTTCATAACAACGCAACTCAACGGCTAGGTGATTGAGTAACGGTGCTTATGCCTTCTTTTTGTAGAATGAGACAATCCGATCCTTCCGTCACTGGATGTGCTGCATGATGTAAAGTATCGATTGACGTCAGTCCCTGTCCCATTTATCAGTATTCATGGTTCCGGGCTTTTTGTGGTCTGTGTGTCAGTGGATTACGGGTGATAAAACCTGATCGTATTGGTTATGTTGGGCTTTATAACGCTTACCAAGACACAGTACGACAGGCCTATCCGTTATCATGGTCACGGATTTTGCATGACACAACTCTGACTTTATGACTAGAGAGTTTTCACTCTGGCATTTTCTGCTGGGGTGAGGAATTTTTGCCCCCGGGCTCTATTCTTCGAAACTCAGTCAAATTACGCCCAAAATGTTTTGCGGCGTAAATTTTCAGTTGCGTGCAATCGTTTCAGTCACTGGCGGTGGTCATTCTCTTCCAAAGTCCACATTTCTCCTACCTTAAAGCAATTGTTGTGACTATCGGTAGCCTTTCCGTCCGAAAATATTAGTCACATGCTAGGGAAATGAGATGTATTCATCAATCGACCGTTTTGCCAATTTTTCAGCTGGCATTCAGCTTCTCACGTGATTCGTGCGAGTTACTCACGTGACCCTGTGGCACGTGCTGCAGATGTTTGCCAACGAGTGATCAGAAGTGTTTGATACTCGATTTACCAACTCTGCCAATGAAACGTTCCTTGACATCGCTTGTGAAGTTGAAAACTCTTCAACATCCGGTTTCGTTTATATGAGCGTTTGTAGCTTGGCCCCTCGGTCCCTCTTAACCTTTGGGTTGCGCGAACCCTTTAGGGACGTCTCTTACGGGGCCGGTATCGTTGTTCATCCTTACGAACAAAGAACTGTTTTAGGACATTTCTTGTCAGGGTAACCACCGAATTTACCTATAAGTTTCCCATTTGCCTGAAAGGGAAGCAACTGGTTCCTATCGTTTTTTTTTCAAAATCTTTAGCCGCGTGGATTCTTACACGACTGCATTTTCTATAGTGTCTTTCCAGCCCATGCACATTAGTCCGCAATTACGCCATTCTAGATGGACTGCCACTACTGAGTCATGTCGCGTAGGACCTCAGTTAACAGAGCCCCGGAAGCCGATGGACTTCTCCAAAAATCCTCCACATCACTAATTCAAAAACTTACTTCAAGTTGCCAATCACTGAAGTCCTATATGTAATTTTTATTCACACAAATTCACCTCTTGAGGTGAATCACAGCGGGCTCGTAACTTGTGCTGCAAGGCACTTTTCCCCTTCCGGAACGACTCAGTCGTCAGATTATTTAACAACACCGTTTATGTGGGAAGGCATATTATGGCTTTGGTAGCTATTGTGATCTATCCACTTATCCTCGATGCGTGCGGGTGCGCGCAATCTGTCCACTTTTCAGGCTAGTGAAACGGTTTGTTTATGAGCTCGTGGTCACGTGACCACCCAGTTCTCTTTCGGATCTCATCTCAGTATTGGTTTACTAATCTTCTCTTTGGGCTTGGTCTACAAGTTGCCTTATGGCCACCTTGCATCCATTCCCTCCACTTCAGATGCTGATTAGAGTGCAAAGTTTGATTTTTTTCAGTTGTCATCTTTGTTCACCACAATACAACTATCTCAGGTTTTTGTTTGTGAAAAAGTACCTACAGTAGTGTTGTGACTTGATGGACGATCGTGCAACTGTTCGGTCCCTTGGCCTCCTGCTCCGCCCGCTATGGTAATAAAAAGGCACGGTAGCTCTATACAGCCCTTTATGGGGACGAGAGGAAATTATTGCAACCGTATTTATAGGGTGAGGGCGCGAGAAGCGTCGAGTCAAGGATGCTCGACTCGGATTGGCTGGCATTCTGACCAATTAGGGCATGCATTCGTTTGGTCCGTGTCTTGCACGTGACACATCCGCCCAAATGATATGACGTTCGGTTATTGGGCACGGCTGGTTTCCGGAGTGTAAAAGATTCACTTCAAATCACCCAAGTGTACACTTCCCTGCACACTTTCGGACAATCTGTATATAGAAGGGACCAACCGTTGAATGACCCTTGGGTCAGGTGCTTTCTTGAAGAATCTTTTGCAATGGAACGTAAACATTGGGTGCCATTTTGGGTACAGTTGCCCCACTCTTGAACGCCCATTTGACCTTTCCGGTAGTTTCACTGCCATTCTGTTCCTTGTGCTGCCTCGAAGTCTTTTGAGCCTTGCGATTTGTTACTCTTAGACTACTTGAAGAATCTGATCCAAGTATAGTGCCAATTTTTTGGCCTCCTTAGTAGGCCAATTTGGCTACATTGGTCATACTCCATGTACGCGAACGTAGTGGAATTAGGCTTCACTGCATAGTGGTGTACGCTGATGGATTTCCCCGCTGATTCAAGCAACCCTGATTGGTAGTCACATTTGAATTAGCAGAATAATCGGATTACTTTTGGCATAGTGAGGTAACTTGCTTGACAGGTGGTCTGGATTTTGTTCAAAAAGTGCGTGTCGTTTACAGTTAGGTTGTGTCGTGTTATCGAACTACTGAAACCGTCTCGATGAAAAGTCGGTGCTGAGATTAATTCCTTAAGCAGTAGTCTCAGCCGCACTTTTTTTCACAATAAGAAACAAGTCTGACGTCAGCACCAACGTAATCTTCAAACGAGTGTTTATCGTAACATACATAGGACCTCGTGTTCAAATTGGGAATAAATGGATAAAGATTCGAACCCAAAGAAGAGCAATCCGGTAGTGGACTGTCCATAGTTTCCGTCTTTTTAAAAAGCCCATGATTTGTTTGGAACATCCGCCGTTCGTTTGTCTAATTCTAAATGAACTTTCATTTTTCGTTCCATTTAATGTACCTTGAAGAGATCGCATTTGTTCTGTAGTCTGCAGCCACGGGGTTGAAAATTTAATTGTGCTTTTTCGAGTCGAGCTACCAACCATTACTGGCTTCAAGGGTGTGTTATCCAACTCACGGGTAGTCTGCAGCTGCGATCCGCGACCTCGGACACAATTCGGAGATGGCGGGCAAAAAGTCCAATTGTTCCAGTATTCCCCGACAATTATGCGAGTCTTTGTTCGATTGGGTTCGGCAGTTTTCACATTAGTTGACCAGTATGTGCGACGTAGTTGAGCAATTCACATCTCACTCTGGGCAGATATGGATATCACATTTCCTACGTCGTAATAATCTAAGCACATAGGCCGGCACAACTGAGTTAACAGCTACGTAACTAAACTGATATCCTGAGGTTCGGCTTACCAATGCTTTCTGTTCTCAGAATTGTACTAGAGCGATTCGCCAGCTATCTCTGGGCCAGCGCTCCGAGATATATCTCATGATTTGCTTCAGTACACATAGACCATGAGACCACCACTCCGTGTGGTAGGTTCCATCGTTTAGTTCACTAACCAGTAGCAGTTCCGTTAACTGAAGATTGGTTCAGTAGTACGTTTAATTGATTTCGGTCTTTTTATCTCTTTTGTTTGTATTCATGCAGTACGCGGACCCGGTGGCTGATTTTCTGGATAAATGGAGTGCATTTCGATACCGATTGTTTCGGGAATCGTGTGTTTACCACAGAGGAAATTACGTGAAAGACCTGAGTCACTTGGGGCGTCCGATCAATCAAGTGGTCATTTTGGACAACTCTCCGGCATCCTACATGTTTCATGCAAACCATGCGGTGAGTACCCGTCTGTCGCATCACCAAACCTGACTTGTACACGGTTTGATCGCTATGTTAGTGCCATGTTTTTTTCATATTTTACGTGCGAACTTACTGACTGTGGTTCGAACTCAGCCACTGCATCTTGACTGCTCCTGTCTGGGTTTGGGCCTTCACGACTATGGAAGTTGGCTTAGCACTTGCAGTAGAGTCTGCTTGTGAAGACCGACTTCTCTAGCTTCGTTGATGCGGGGCGTTTTTTTTCAGATTATTGATAGTTTGGTAATTTTACTAGAAGAAAGTTCAATTGAATGCCCTAGAGATGGGAACATTCGCATGTGCGCCGTAAATCTTCTCCGTTGTGCTTGTTTTATTTTACTTGGATGCAGGATAACAAGTTAACCCTCGCGGATATTCAATCCCTGTCTTCTTTACTTGATCGGGATTCTGCCCCGCCAACATTCCATCCAGGTACATGTGGCTTATCAGTGGTATGAATTACATCCATCCAAACAGGATTGAAGACCCTTCAACTAAATGGTTTTGACCGATGCCTTGGGTGTCGAGTAAAAACCGTATGACCTGACATTTAACGTTAGGCCTGTTATCGTTCAGTTTGTATCCAGACAACAGTTCGAGGCTGTTGTTCAAGGCACACCTTATTCCCGTCACTCTCGCCTCAGGTCGATCTCTGTTGTGACGAACAAAGCCAAGACAGACTGTTCTAATTCATATTGTCAGAGCTAGCTGGACGAAAAACAATGGTTACACGGTACGTGTATTCAAGAAGGAGGTAATTTCGGGAAAAGTCCGTTTCAGCACCCTTATGGGTTACTTATGACGGTTAAAATGTCAAATGCATCCTGGTGGCATCCATACAGACTGATTTCGCTCTGTCCCCACTGAATTGTATTTTCCCCCAAGTCGTCTCTCATAGCGTAGTGAAATCGTTCAACTGTAGCACTCTTTCGGTTCGAACCACGGACCTTCCGGTCAGTAAATTCGTGCTCTTACCACTTGAGCAATCTCGCCGAAGTGGTTAGAGCGCGAATTTACTGACTGGAAGGGTCGTCGTTCGAACCCGACGTCCTCCTCTCGACTTACCCTGTCTAGGCTTGGGCAACCTGGCAGTATCCTAGCCCTCGTGCAACCTTCGGGTGGCATAGCAGCTAGGCACCGAAAGCACGCTGCAGCTGAACGATTTTATTTCAGTGAAATCTATAGGATACCCGGTTAACTTTTCCTTGCATAAGTGAGGTTTCAATATGAGACTTCCGATTTGGTTCCACATGACCAACTGCAGACCAGCCGTTCTCTCTGTCTACGAGCCAAGAACAAATTTCTTCCCGGATTCACTGGATCTTATTGAACAACTTTACCGTTATTGAACTGGAATTCCTCTTTCGATTTGGTGTATGTTTTAGACTTCACCTCTATGAGCAGCAGCTGCTCCCAAATAACTATCACGTGTTCTGTTGCTCAAATTGTCTGTCACACTTTATGTTTCAATCCACCTACGGGCCAGATGGCTCAGTGGTTGGAGCGCAGAGTTACTGACTGGAAGATCCGTGGTTCGAACCCGACCTCTGCATCTCGACTGTTCCTGTCTAAGCTTGGGCAACCTGGCAATGTCACAGCCCTCTTGCCTCCTTCAAGTGGCATGGCAGCTAGGCACCGAAAGGGTGTTACAGCTAAAAGATTACTTATAATGGTTAGTTGCATGCATTGCACGACCATTCACCTACAGTTCGGGTGACCCACCCCATTCGATTACTTCACCCACCAATGTGATCAGTACAGTGTGCAAAACATAGTTTGAATACTGCGTACTTTGCTGGATATACTTGTGATACAAAGTGGTGTAATACTCGTTCTTACTACTCCAGTTATCGGATCCAAACAAGCAGAGCTATTAACGTGGTAGCTCTGCCAATGGTCATTTCATTGATTGGGTGCATTGAAATCCACCAATAAGAGATGCTAACGTCCAGGTGCGCTATGCCATTGCTTCATGTTGATTGTCGATTAACAGCAAGTGGCAGTTGATTCGCCCAACTTACGCGTAAGTGACATACGATAAATCGGTGGGAGATTTCTCAGGTAAGATAAGCAGAAACTTATCAGACGTTAATTTCTACATTTCTTCATGGTTGCACTGCTCTTAGTGACAGGTCTGTATCACCTTAGGAACAAACCCCGCAGATGGGTTCTGGTTTGCGTAGACAAACGAAAATGTCGCATTTCGGCTTGGTTGATCGATCAGTACTGTTAACTACATTTGCTCAACAGAGTATGCCCCAGAAGTTTGTAAACGTAATCCGATCCCTATATTTAAATACTTCTGGGTGGGTGAAAGTGTACGGTGAGCTCTCCAGAAGCTTCCCTACAAAAAGGGGTGTCAGACAAGGATGTCCATCTCTCCACGCTTGTTCAACTTCGTAATTGATGAAATAATGAGGCGAACACTGGACGGTCTCCAAAACCCCGGTGTTCAAATTGTTGCTGGTGAGAGCCTTGTCGATCTGGAGTACGCAGATGACATTGCCCTCATCTTTGAAGGCCAAAGTGAAGCACAAGCTCTGTTGAATCAACTAACCACTATCATTCCATCTTTTAGCATGCGCCTCGCACCTTCAAAGTGCAAAGTCATGCTTCAGAACGTCGCGTCTGCTAACATATCCCTTACAATTCAAGGAGAATCACTGGAGATTGTGGAAAACTTTACGTACCTCGGTAGTTGTATTAGCTCTGATGGAAGTGTGTCTGATGAAACCAGTGCAAGAATCTCAAAGGCTCGAATCACGTTTGCTAATTTGCGTCACTTGTGGTATCAAAAGCCATCTCACTAGATCTTAAGGGTCGTGTGTATCAGACTACAGTAAGGGCTGTGTAGTTGTATGGGTGCGAGACATGGCCTCTTCGGGTAGATGATGTGAGGCGTCTTCAGGTTTTCGACCACCGATGCCTCAGAAGCGTGGCTGGTTTCGGATGGCGTCAGCGTGTCAGTAACGAGGCGATTAGCAAATGGGTATTTGGTGATGCGGCAGGTACTTCAGTCAGTCAAAACATCCAGCACCACCGAATACGGTGGCACATGAGTGACATGTGCTACGCATGCCGAAACACCGTCTACCGAGACGAGTGTTTTCCTCCGTGCCTTCTTCAGGATGGCGCAAACCGCGAGGTGGACAGCACATGACTTGGCAGAAAGGCGTGAAAGAGATCACGAAGAGTTTGGGTGTTGTTGGTGTTGTATGCCTCCCAGGATGGGGTCCCCGTGACCCCGTCTGTGCTTGTCTGGAAACGGTGCAAGAAATGGCGGCTAATCGATGTCAGTGGCGTTCGTGCTGTCAGTTTCTTTCCAGATTGTCTGGTTGAGCGGTTGGAGGTGTAGGCACCTCAGTATGCTTGACATAGGCCAGCACTAGGTCCCCTCCCTCACCTACCCTTTTACTCTTATTTTCACCCTAGGGCTTTTAATATAACTAAATGAACCTTATGGTTGCATGGCAGTGAAGCACCAGTACCATCACTGATCTTGCTGTCTTTGATGATGATGATAATCAGTGTGACTACTCATCAACACCGACCCGAGACAGATTGAAGTCTGGTCAATGCATCACAGGTTCGGTTTCCATTTTAGCGTGATCTGTGTAAACTAGCAGAGTAGGGGTGGGACCTCCTGGACTTGGTTTAATTGCCTTTTGCCAGGTTTGTCGCCCGTTTATTATTCGAAAATCCTCTTTAAGGTGCAATTTCCTCCCTTGTTGAGGAGTTCCTTTTCCTTCTTTCAGTATGATTTTTGTCGCAACAAGCCGTAATTGACCAACACTGAATAATCAGTCAACATTTACTGCTCAGATCCTGTTTAAGTTTTTAATAATAATTAACTACGCTCCTGTTCCTCCCTCCTCTCTGCGTTTTGGTTTCAAGATATTGGTGATCTGTGTAACACTGCTGACTCCCAGCAAACATACCACTTATTTTGTGCCTTCTAACCTCCAAATGGAAGTTGACTTGAAGAAAATTCATGAAACTTCACCTTCCTTGCTTGTTCCAGCTGTCTTTAAACGGTTTGGTTTACAGTTAGTCCACCTAGTGAGCCGTTTTCGGTACGCTTGTTTATACTACCATTCTGTTTGTCTGTACACATGCGATTTCACACAGGGCGAAAATGTGACGCGTCGTACGTTGTAGACCAACTAGCATAACTTGATGTCAGTCAGTCGCTTGTCTAACCGATATGTTTACCTTTGGACTCATTTTCTCCATGCGTTTGGCTACTAAGAGGGTGTGTGTTCGTGTGTGTATGAATCCGCATACTTTTGGTCAATACTCGTGAAAGTACTCAACGCTTTTTGACATCACCAAGAATGTTGGAGCTGTTGAAAGAGTACCCGGGGTGCTCAAGCAGGCAACCACTCTTGGGTGCATCACGTGAACCTTACTTCGGTGGAACAACAGAATTTTTAGCCCGGTAGTGTCTTTCCAATTGTGTTTTCGGGTCGGGAGGGAGCTTTGCGTTATAATCACCCGCTTTAGAAACAAGTTTCTTCATTTTCGGAAGACAAATGTGTCCTGATCAAACAATGAAGGTATTTTACGTGTGGCTATGTATATTGACTTCCTGGTCCAGCTGGTCGGCCCCAGTTTATCCATCTTTCAAACAGTTGTGCCCTTTTTCTCCTTGTGCTGTTTTTGATGCCACGCTATTGACGTGTTCACCTGCTTTTGTCGCCAGTCTCCCTCCCTTACTTTCACTTTGCTGCCTACCATACATGGTTTATTTCAGGTTCAAATATCTTCTTGGTTCGACGATGTGAATGATCGTGCCTTACTGGACCTCATTCCATACTTTGAGCGGCTCGCCTCTCACCCGAACGTCGTGGAGTTCCTGCGCACCAACACACCTCCAACGCCGCATGCTGCCGTGGGTACTGTCGGGCTTTCGACCGGGGTCTTTTCCGCTCTGGCACCCACAAGTGATCCGATTGGTCGTTCGTGTGACAGTGGTGGTGTAATATCGAGTATCCGGCGGCCAGCTGTAGCCTCGCCTCTTCCAATCTCTGTGGCCGAAAGTCGAGTTTCCTCCCGCGCCATTCCCATTACTTCTACCTCAGATTCACATCCTCATTCAGATTTACGAAAGCACCATAATAGTGCCGGTTCCTCCCGTGTTCTCAGCTCCAATGCTTTGCCTGTGATTACTAAAATGGCAGCCCCCAGTAGTGGACCGTCCCTCAATCCAACACACGCGAACAATGATCCGTCTGTATCGTTTCCTGCTCCTTTGAGCCTTGCCAGTTATCTTCCGATTCCTCCTCTCACCAACTCACCTGTGACTATACTAAGCGCCACCTCTGGAACTTCATCTCAGGCTCGTTCGCATGATTCCATAGCAACCCCACCTAATCTAACGGGACCTACATCACTTCTTAATTCATCGAGTATCCACCCAACTGGTCTACCTCAGGGCACAGTGGACCGATCAAAGGTCAACGTTTATCCCATACCATCAATCACTCGTGTTTCTACTCCATCGGCCTACACTCCGTACTCCTCACTCGTACGACCAAAAACACCACCCAGTATCTTGGCTGCACACAGATCAGAAACCGGCGGCAACCAACCGGCTGGCTCATCCAGCGAGGATCACACCTCTTCCCTTCCAAATCAGCCACAGAAACTTGGAACTGTAAAGTCTGTCCCTGGTAACTTTTCACCTCTGCAAACTGTTAGCCCACCTCCATCCGTCAACCAAAGTTCCAGTGCTAGCCGCAAGCCCATATCATGACTGTTCGTCCAACCAACCACTACTTGTCCAGTATTTGTCTATTTTCAGCCTGTACGAGCTGCTTGTCATTTCGAATAACGATAATTTCGTCGTGGCACTAAGTCCAGGCTAGACGATTTGCCGTGTAACTTGCGCCTGAAATCCAGATATTCTAATCTCATCCTGTGGCCCTCAGAAAGAACCAATCGTCAGTTCGATCTTCCGTCTGTATGATTTGCCGATCGTTTGAACAACGGCTCAGCTGTCCAGACGTAGCTCACACTATTATAGGTACTAAAACACTATCCAGTGCAATCTTTGGTGCAATATACTGGGGGGCTACTGTCACACAGATACTTAGCAGTCTTTCCGCCCTGCAGCGATGAACCCCCTCCTGTGGGGCCTGCGTTTTTTTTCTGGTTTCCCAAAATGATTTACCCCTGATTTTTATTTTGTGATATTTCCCCCGTTCGTTTTTTTCCGAGCTTATACCTATACACCCATCCTTTTATTTGTGTGTATATATATACATATATTTGGTGCTACTGGGACGGCGCTGATGTACTTTGCGCCAAATCAGCGCCGATTTGAAGAGGTGTAGAATTATACCCTCCATCCCCGACCCTGTTGCTTCCAATCTCTTCCGTGCTGTCTAAGGAAAGCAAACCACATTGCTATGAAAAGCATTTCGATCATTATGCTGCGCCATTTTCATGATTTCTTGGTGGATATGGATCCCAACGAATCTGTCCACTTCGTATGAGTTCAATTTCAAGTCGCCATTGGTCGGCCATCGTTAGGTAACCATCCCAGCAAGTCTCCTTCTTGCTGCTGTTCCTATCTGGCAATGCAACCTGGTTTATATCGACTTCCTTATCGTTATTTTTTTTAAATTTCTCTTTATCTTTTCATTTGTTTTGTTTTCTCTGTTCGCTTACAGCTGCTAGTTCCCAGACATTTTTCGTTATGTATAATCCTAGTGCACCTATTGTGTCGTGGCCCATCGCGATCGTCTCTAAGCACGGTAGGAGAATCGGTGCCTTCATAAACCCAAGCCAACCTACTTGTAAAGAAGACAAACTCTATCTGTTTATCATCGGACTCGATGTCCCTCTTCTTTGTCTTCTTTTCATCAATCGCATGTGGGGAACAGCCAGGGCAGTCCGACGAAACGTCCCTGGTCTACCAGGGACCAGATTACCTTCGACAATGAATATTGGGGTAGAATATTTGAGTTTTGGATCAGCTGAAAATGTTGCAATGACGCACTACTGATTTCACCTCGACTGGTGAAAAAAGTAGTTTACAAAAAACTATCCATCTCAGCGGACCACCGATCTGAGCCCCCAATCTCTCGTTAAATTTGAAGGTTTAGTCACCTACGTGATTGAGTTGCCTTTCGATAGAATACTGGACCGTTCGAACCGCACACCTCATATGACACGATGTCGTATTGACTGCTTCCTGAGCGAGAGGACGATGTGCCTTGTAAGATGTCCTATGTTACTTGGTATTTGGAACAGAAATCTCGCGTGAATTTGAACCAGATTTCTTGGGTCGGTATAGTCACTTCGCAGTTCTAAACGGCCGGTAGACTGTTCGATGCATTCAGTGTGATAGTCCTTACTAAGCGTCTGCGCAATTCTGGGTGAAGCGCAATACATTGCGAATGACAGTACTGTTCGGTCCCTTGCGGCTGAAAACTCTTGTAGCACAGAGTGGTTCACTGACGACTGTCAGGAATGAAGGTGACTACAGTAATTTCATCCAAAACGCAGTGCCGCTTCCTTCATCTATGGCCAGTTAGTTGGCATTTTCCAGGAAATATGGACTCCAAATCAACGAAGCGTGTGTTGAAACTGGGAGTCCAAGGACATTTTATGAGCACTAGGACATATCCTGGATTGGACTCATGCTACTCAGATGCTCTATCAACCGAGCTGCCTATTCACTATCAAGTCCACGCGTCTGAATCACATGGTGTGTAAATCGACGCACCTTTTCTTGATGATCAGCGCCACAGGGTAGTTCTTTGTACTTTCTCCACGCGTGATGAGATGTCATTCATGTATCCACAGGATGGGATTCCGCAGTACCATGTCACGAAGGCAGCTCCAAACCTCTCGCGCACCCCTTGCTCTTTCAACTTGTAGTCCCTGATTGTGATAACCTGATAGGTAGGTGACCGTTAAGGGTATTTCTCGAGAAATTCCTACCACGAGAATTGGGCTGTGTATCGATAGCTGTTTCGTCTGATGCAAATTACTTTGTTTGGGGTAAACCATATGATACCTAGAACTAATCAGCTGATTGGCTAGTCACGCTAAAATCCGAGTTACCTAGGGCTAACGACCCATAAATTAGCCACAGAAACGCGGATAGTAAACACGCCAAGGTGGTCTGTCAGCTGTTCGTTTGTTTTTTTTTTCAGTGAAGCAGGGTTACTTCATGATCGTACGCTTTTCACGTCTAGTATATATATATATATATATATATGTAAATGGAATTTTTGCGCTGGACTTGGAATTGAGATGGACGATTCCAGCGAAAAGCTTTGCGCTGACTGTAACACGCAAAGCACTTATATGAATATAGGTAAATCTTGAGTAGCTCTTAAATGGTAGTCGTTCCCTAACTGATTTGTGGGACGATAGAATACGACTGAATAATCATCGGTTATGACGGCACACCTAACCATTGTATGGCCGTGATTCCTTTTTACGATAGCAGTCTACCACCATATTACTGTACTTGTTTTGACCACGTCTGTTGCTGAAGGATACATGGAGTTTGAAGGCCTCAAGTCCCAAATGGGTTTCTTCCGTGTTGGACACCCTTGATGGTTCCCATTCAACTTCCCAACGTGGTTTGTCCGAAGTTCGCATAGCACCATTTAAAGTGCTAAACCTCATCAGTATACTCCTTTCCAGACAAGTAGACAGGTTGGTTCATGAACATACTCAGTTCTGTTCAGCCACACGCATACACTCTGTAAACCGAGTAACTGATACTGAATTCCAAACGGTGCACAACACCTGTGGTATCAAATGACCGCGTCATTTTAACACCATCTGTGCAATCTGACCGAAAGGACAACTAGTGTTTCACTTAGTACGTCAGTGCAACTTGCGGAAGACGGCTGCGAGTCGGAAAAAAGCAACAAAGGAGATCAGTTGGACAAAACCGACCTAATGTGGTGTTTGTTACTCGATAAGTTGGTCAGTCAGCAATAGAAAGTATGGCTACACGTTGTGTATGCTCCACCAAAACCCGGTCTTCCGAACTGGCGGTACTCCGCGCGGGTTGTAGAAAGGAGGAGAGCGCAGTCGGTTTTGATTTCATCAGACTTATCAGGTATAAGGACGATGAAGTTTCGCGGTGATCAACTGCAGAGGTAGGCGATCCAGAATGCCGCACCGGTTACTGGTTCTAGCTTATTCCTGATCAACAGGAATAAGGTTGCTGCTTTACAAAAAGAGTCACTATCGGTGCGCTCCGAATAGAGTTGTTTACAGTAATTTTCCACATTAATTAAAACAGAATTTCTGGGTTGTGTACATGAAGATGTTTAGCAATTTCTAACAGGGATTTCGTCCTGTAAGTAAAGCCACTCTATGCCGAAAAGCACTGTACAGCTACTTCATCTTATTTTGAACTCACCAGTGTTGTATACCTCACGACACTCAGGGGAGTTTAGAGTTCGCGACCTCCCGGCTACTAGTTTGGACATGAGCGGCTGGTAAGTAGTGTGATTTGCGCCCACTCAGACAGGATGCAGCGCCACGCACCCCTCAATCTCGGGTACCACATCAAGTGATCACGTAGTGACTTGTTCCTCTCAGTCAACCATAGAGCTGTATTTCAGTTATTGGAACAGACTGTGGCTGGAAAATCTCCTGTCAAAAAATCTCAAGAAATGAATTCAGTTGCAAGCTGTGTAGCCTTCATCAGAGTTGTTACCGGCATCTTGCCGAGCGTCTGTTTCCCTCAAACAGTACAACCCAGGTAGCGCAAAATCAACCCGAGCGATGAAATGTCTGTTCATGTGAGACCTCTCATGGGCACTTATTCATATCGGTGGCCATTTGCCTACAACTATTCTGGTATCTTGATGAACATCTGACCTATGTGCCCTCAGTGTTCTGTATTGACCAGGACTCCAGAATGTGGTTTTTCTCAGCGAAACAAAACAACTCCGTGGCATATAATTCTAGGCTTTGATTTAGTTTTAAATACACCTTTCGTACTTGAATACAGAGGGCTCTGAGAGCACTCGCCATGCTACCGAACCAGTATGAAATTGTCTACTCGCGCAGACGAAAATGGTTGAGGTGACACTGCTCCAGTCGCTAAATGCAGTAGCGTTAATCGAAACACTACCGTTCCACGCTGAAGGCTAACTGCAATTTCGGAGCAGATTTGGACGAATTGCAGACTGTATCAGGCCTGTTTTTTTACTCAAATGAAAATATACTGTTACTCTGTAAAGTCAGTTTAACTTTGGAATCTAATTATGGAGACATAACCGTCTACAGTACGCCTCTGGAGATCGCTCCAGTCCATTCTACACCTGGCAGATGTACGCTGTGACATAGATGCCTACTTCGGGCGGTAGTGCGAATTCATTTCGACTGACGCAACGAAGGCTTGTGGAAAATAATACTGTTTAGAAAATACAACCAATCCGAGCAACCAAGTGTTTGGTGGAAATTGGATCGTTAGCAGGACTACAATGGAGGAAATTAAATCAGCGTCATATGACGTCCATTCGAATAAGTATTCAAGGACAGTTCAAAGGCAGATAAAACGTGGCTGCACGGGGTAAATATCCCGGGTATCACTTCACCTTTAAGTACATACCGTCAACAATAAAGCAGACTATACCCCGAAGGTGACAGAAGATTTGAAGTTGGCTATCCACGTTCAATAACAGCGGCACATAGCTGCCAAGCACAGTCGCCTCAATCGAACAAACTAGTCAGCAAAATTTACTAACTCGCAGGTGCCAGGTAGAGCTATGTAGGGCGACGGGAGGCCCAAGGAGGACCTGGATTTAGTTGAATGACTGAAACTGTAAATACTACACGTCTTACTGTGGGCAAAAGGCAGCTACCGGAAAGCATAAACTTTATGACCTCAGTGCCTCGCTTTCTTTCGGAGTTACCAAGTTGCCCGTTCAGCTGTCGATCAGAATTCCACGCCACGTACTACTCACCTGTACGCGTATCCCAACGAAGCGTTTACCCGGCTACGAGGCAGTACATTTCACTTCATTTAACGGAAGTTAAAAATTATCTGGCTGGAAATTCTGAAGTGGTGTGTCTACGTAATATTTCTACATGTGATGAAAACAAATATAATGAACTCTGTACTCAACCAGGCCACGCCTTCCCAGGTGAAACTTTTACTTCGACCGACAGCGACAGCAACCGGCAGCTCAGTGAGTAGTGTATTGTCTATCAAACATGTGGCTGCTGAGTGCATCCACGTTAGGTTAAACAGATTTCGGCCAGACTTCATCTCGATCTCCCCCCGGATCCATGACGTCACTTACCAGGAAGGTTCCAAAAAAGTCCCAACACGAAAAAACGAAATCCTGCTACATCCACTGACGCAGTGAAACACAAGTTGGTAGGACAAGCGGAAACCCAGTCATATGCATTGATAGGCTAACTTGCCTGTCACATGCTAGTTTTTCGCGAACACGCTTCTGCCTAAGCTCCACTGTGTCTCAAGTTCCACAGCAAAAACACGGAACTTTTTTTGCCATACCTCACCTAACTTCACCCAGCTGCAAGGAGATTATTTGCCATTACTTCTGACGTTGCTCAACAAAGAGCTGACAGACTGGTATACTTCAACTCTAAGCCCTCAAGCAACTCAATGCTGCTTGTCAAACCTTAGACATATGCTGTTCGGAAAACCCCTACCAACCAACGCCAAAACGCATTCGGACCTAGGCAACACATATTAAACCAATTAGAAGCCTATAGAACTCAGAGAGACCGTGACTTCTCGTTGTCGGAAGAATTCATTAGGTAATAGGATGTGAACTGGATTTTGTTGCCGTTGGTGACTGAGACCTCAATGGCCTCTTGAACTGCTAGACCCTGAAGAACAGCGG